GACTTACGCGAGTGTGGTGTTCGCTCACGCGGCCCGCACACACATAGACACCCTCCAATCCCTACAATCCCGCTTTTGCAGGTTAGCTGTCGGGGCTCCGTGGTTCGTGAGGAACGTTGACCTACACGACGACCTGGGCCTCGAATCAATTCGGAAATACATGAAGTCAGCGTCGGAACGATACTTCGATAAGGCTATGCGTCATGATAATCGCCTTATCGTTGCCGCCGCTGACTACTCCCCGAATCCTGATCATGCAGGAGCCAGTCACCGTCGACGCCCTAGACACGTCCTTACGGATCCATCAGATCCAATAACCTTTGCATTAGATGCCTTCAGCTCTAATACTAGGGGCAGGCTTAGGGACCCCGGTAACCGTACTCGTCGAACTCGACAAAGAGGTCGACGTGCAACCTAACCCATGCATCAGCCCGCTGAGTTTCTCGCCGGATCTTCTCAGCGGGTCGCGATTCCGATCCGGTAGTAGATTCATTCGCGAAACAATTGCTCTTGAGTTGTTAGGTCTCCTTCGGAGGCGCTCGGGTAGTTGTTAGCAAATCCCTCCCCTCTTGGCTGAGCCTTTGCTCGCCCACCTGTCCTGGTGAAACTGGAAAGGCCTTCGGGCCACCAGTAAACTTTCAATCATAAAAAAAAAAAAAATGTACTTGATGGATAGACTAATCTCTATATGAGTGTTGGACTCCCTACACCAGATGCGGGGGCGTTAATGACGAGAATCTTTGTGGGTCTGCGAAATAATAATGTTAATTTTAAATGGCCAGCGAAGCGGACGGGTACAGCTAGTATATATATTATATTCGTATTCGTATATTATATTCGACTATGAGTCATGAGGTTGGAGTTTCAAGTTATATGATTGCTTTGCGGCAGAAGAGGGCAGGATGATGGCGTTCACCCATATAAGCTCGCATTAAAATATATCTCCAAATACCGCTTTTCAATCCGAGAGCAGGTGGCAGACAGTAATACGACACTAACACATCACGCATTCTCAACTCACCGCTTAGTATGAATAATACATGAACAAATTTCTTGGCGACATTCTGCACAAAGATGTTCTTTCTAACCCCCGATACGTATCGGATTGTTTTGCTTATGTTTTCGCATAAAAATTGAGACGTTTTTATTCGTAACGCGTTTGAGGAGGGCCGCAGATCATGATACATCTTTCAATTTTAAGAATCCTTCCTCGATGTTGCAGTCACGTACGCTTTCATTGTATTTCATTGACGTTTATCAGTCAGTCACTCTGGGTTTTCGTGTCTGATTCAAACTTTGGCTGTATGAATTTTTTTTGACACAAGGTACTTTTAGGCAAGCTGTTCTGGGCTATGGAAATGACGTTTTTATTTTTTATTGCTTAGATGGGTGGACGAGCTCACAGCCCACCTGCTGTTAAGTGGTTACTGGAGCCCATAGACATCTGCAATGTAAATGCGCCACCCACCTTGGGTTATAAGTTCTAAGGTCTCATGTATAGTTACAACGGCTGCCCCACCCTTCAAACCGAAACGCATTACTGTTTCACGGCAGAAATAGGCAGGGCGGTGGTACCTACCCGTGCGGACTCACCAGAGGTCCTACCACCAGTAAAAAGTGTTTTCGTGTCTGATTCAAACTTTGCACGTATGAAAATGTTTTGACACAAGGTACTTTTAGGCAAGCTGTTCTGGGCTATGAAAATGATGTTTAGTAATATCTAGTCCATTGACCCGCGAAAATTAAAGAAAATTATAAAATTTAAATCAAATTGATAGTTTTCAATTCTTAGTTAGGATATTTTGTTAACGAGACGCATCTGAACTAGAACAGGTCCAGTGAGAAATTTAAGTGAATCTTTAATTAAATTAATTTCGCACAAAACAGTTTACGAATAGAAATAATCTACACATATCCGAAGGTTCGAAGGTTCGAAGGGTGGGGTAGCCGTTGTAACTATACTGAGATCTTAGAACTTATATCTCGAGGTGGGTGGCGCATTTACGTTGTAGATGTCTATGGGCTCCAGTAACCACTTAACACCAGGTGGGCTGTGAGCTCGTCCATCCATCTAAGCAATAAAAAAAAAAAAAATTGGAGTGTCTGTTTGTAATATTGAAATAGCCTCTTTTTACTACATGCATATGAATATATATACATACACCAAAAAAGTTTTTTTACAATTATTGTCTGTCTGTCTGTCTGTTTATTCCGGCTAATCTCTGGAACGGCTGAACCGATTTTGACGGGACTTTCACTGACAGGTAGCTGATAATAATATAAGGAGTAACTTAGGCTACTTTTTTTAGACTAGCGTCGCCCCGCGGCTTCACTCGCGGTACGACAATAACCGCGGGTAACATCGCGGGACTCAGTTATCAATAATAAAATTTAATGTTTCCTAAGCGAAGCGAGGGCGGGTCGCTAGTCTTAAATAAATTTGTAATTTGACAATCGTTTTGTTAAGCTTTCCAGTTTTGAGAAGATTCAGTTTGGGCAAACGTAAGTAATGCGATTAAGTAATATTTGTTTAGAACTTTTCCAGACGCTAAGACACGAATTCTGTACGAACCTAAAGAAGTTTGTTTAAAACAGATATCTCGTGAGTGGAGTTCGGGTCTCCATGTCATAAAAACTTAAAGGTGAAGTTAGCTAGCGGACCGTGAAATGAACCCGTGTTTGAATTTGATCTCCGTTTCCTTGTCTCTGTTTAAATACTCTGTACAGGTTCGATTTGGATTTCTTATCGTTAGGAGCATCGATCGTACTTTAGAGTTTTCAAATTATCAGATAATAATTGATGTTACATTAATACAATGTGTAAATTACTTTCAAGAGTTCGTAATACAATTTGTGAATAATTTAAAAAAAAGAAAAGATAATTAATTAATAGCACCTTAATCTACCGTTTGCGTTTTATCAGATAATATCAGTAATGTATTTATTGGCATATCATATTTAATCTTCACTCTAACTCATGTCACCTCAAAGCTTGTTAAAAAGACTACATTTGATAATTACATAAGCGCATCATCGTGCTTGCAATTAGAGGAATTTCATCCTCCCCGTTAACCAAAGGAAGATTTTCCGACCTTGACCTGAAAATACAGCTTCTATACTTACTTTTAAGGTTGGCAATCGTATAGTCGGTGATGTCTATGGACTATAGGGGGTCTCGAGAGTTTGTCTATCACTTTCTTAGTAAGGATGAGCTATATATAATATTTTGTCCTTTTTTTCATTACATACATTTAATAAGACTAGTGGTCCCGCAGTAGTCGAAATTCGACTATAATTACTTGAAATTATAAGTTTCAACATTATTATGGTCCTATTGTTACAGATTTCGCCAAGACTACGCTATAGACTAATACTCGTAATATTAAAGATAAACAATACTAACCTATTCTCAATTTGACTATAGACTTTAAGCAATAACAAAAGTTTTACAATAAACAAAGAGTATATGTGTGTATGTGAAATACATGGTAGTGTGTGTAATGTTTTCTTTATTGATTTAATGTATCTTTTATGCATTGTTTAAAAAAATATATTAGCATTGTGCGCTTCATCTCTATATTCTTTATAAGTGTGGAAAATTACATACTCCTCCGTCCGCGCAATTTTCGTTAAAAGGGATACAAAGTTTTTGCTTCACGTATTAATATATAGATATAAATCGGTTCACGCTTATAAGAGACTTAAAAATTTAAGAAGGTTGTACTGAATACCTAAGTAGCAGTTGTACGGTCGTATTGATTTAGACTTGAATAGCTGTTTGGAGCTAAATTTAATTTTGTAGATCGATACATTAGAGGCGTAGATATTTTATTTATTGAAAGCAACTAGGTAAGAACCAACTTAATCAAAAACTATTGGCGTTTCTCAGAAACATCGCTAATACCCGGAGTACAGCTAATCCTCTGTGTGTTGAAAAAGAAAACCTCAAAGCGGTATAGGAGAACCGAGAAACTTAATTAACTATCTAAGTGTCCATGGACCGCGGCAATATATCTAAAATATGCAGTAAATAATCCTATAATGGATGGTATAGTCCTAGAAAGTCAAAGACGTCCATTAATGCAAATGAATATATTTATTTGGGAAACCATCAGTAAATTAACCTTGTGATATATTAAGAATAGCTAAACAAAAACCAAGCAAAGAGATGAATGGGACTTATTAAATACACACATATATATCTTCTTTTTTTTTCAACCTTATCCCAGTAGGTGGAGTCGGTACAGCGAATTTTTCTATTACATTTTCTTCTATCAGCTGGCATCTCAGCACTCACTCCTTTCTATCTCATATTGTCATTCAAACACTCCATCCATGTCTTCTTCGGTTGATCTTTTCCTCCTCTACCTGGCACTACCATTTCCATACATGTCCTAGTCATATGCATCTTCTGTCTACACATCACATGTCCATACAACGTTAACCTTCTGCTTTTCACACTTTCTTTGGTACACATACAGCTGGATATTATATTATATAATAGACAATTAAATGGATATCTGCCTCTTCATCATTTAAACCATCGCCCAATCTAAAATATATGTCACTGAGCAATTATCTAGTAACTTTTAATGCACGGTAAATAATTACTTCATTTATTCTTTCCAGAATGAAACGTCAAGAAAACAAAACCACGAAGCGAACAAGAAGGTAGCAGTGCAAAATGACTATAAATTTAAGTGCTATGTGACGGTCTACAGTGCCAAAACAATGTATTGCTGTAGAGAACTGAAACTATTCTATACTGCCCTTGTTTTGTTACTTAAAACTGAATTAATGAACAGTGCAATGGAATCGAAGAAGTCTTCCATGTTGGTGTCGCAGAACGCCGACGATTTTAGGTCATTGGAGCTTTGCACCTCACGGAATCAGCAGAGGCTTGGTAGTGTCTTTGGGAATTTTACGAGGCATCACAAAAAAGGTTAGTTGTGAATTAATTATTGTACAATTTTTTTTGTTTTTGTTTCATTATAGGTCGACGAGCATACGATCCACCTGATGGTGAGTGGTAACCGTCGCTCGTGGACAGCAGCAGTGCCAGGGACAGAGCCAAACCGCTGTCTATCTGGCTGTTCGTCACAAAATGCATAGCTTTGGTTTTCTTGAGCTTCTGCTTTTACATTTCTTCATAGAAATTACTGTAATTTCACTCATTATATACTCATTTAATTTACAACCTATACATACATATAAAAACGTTGCAAGAGTGCACTGAAACATAGACTGTCCGTGGTACTTTGAAACATGGGAGAGCCAGCCAATGAAAATGAAACTTTAATCTTAAATTTTAAATGAATCAGATTCCTTTACTATCTGTTTAATCAATATGGACCAAACCATGTTTATTTTGACAAAAATATAAATCGGAAACCCAAAATAAAATTATCTGTTGACTGTCCACTGAATTAGATATTCGCCTCCATTAATTGATAATTACAAGGCTATAGATCAGTTCGCATTTAATGAAGCTAATTGAAATCTCTCCCACCCGAGACCTTAGCGAGACTTAATTATCGTTATTAATAAAATTATTTGAAAAGGTCGATCATTGATTCTTAATAACGTTAAATTTATAAGTGGAATTTCGGATACAGCTATAGAACTCCGAGAAGTTAAGTTGATTGGAATTTCACTAACGAAGGTTTAAATTTAACAACATATTTTCATGCGCTGTGTTCGAAGGCTGTACTGAAGTACTAACCAATATTACTATAAATATGAAATTCAGTTAAGGGATAAATTTAAAAATAATTGTGTGGTAAAATCTTTATACGTTGATCAGTTTTACGATAATGCACATTATAAAATATTTTATGTTTTTATTTATTTATTTTTATTGCTCAGATGGGTGGACGAGCTCACGGCTCACCTGGTGTTAAGTGGTTACTGGAGCCCATAGACATCCACAACGTAAATGCGCTACCCACCTTGAGATATAAGTTCTAAGGTCTCAAGTATAGTTACAACGGCTGCCCCACCCTTCAAATCGAAATGTATTACTGCTTCACGGCAGAAATAGGCAGGGTGAAGTCGCTCACAAGAGGTCCTACCACCAGTAATTACGCAAATTATAATTTTGCGGGTTTCACTTTTATTACACGATGTTATTCCTTCACCGTGGAAATCAATCGTGAACATTTTATGAGTACGTATTTCATTAGAAAAATTGGTACCCGCCTGAGATTCGAACACCGGTGCATCGCTCAACACGAATGCACCGGACGTCTTATCTGTTAGGCCACGACGACTTGAAAGTTGAAGTTTGTACAATATAATTATTATATGTATATGTATATGTGATTTTGTATATATGTATATATACTTTTTATTTGTATGTATTCGTAACTTAATATAAATTTCATTGCACCTACCACTATTTACTCTGCACTACCTTTGGTTGACTGGTAGAGAATGCCTTAGGCATTAAGTCCGCCAATGTAAATTCTACATGAAGTGTAATAAATAAATAAATATATAAATAAATTATTTTCCCTTGCCAGGTCATAGACGAAGAACAACAACCTCAACATCAACAACAATGGGGTACACGACCGAAGAATCAACATACGTACCAGAAACAACAGAATACATAATGTCAACTTACCACCCGAAAATACCAAAACCGCTTCGCCTATCATCTTCTAATTTAGATAATGATTATAATGATAATGTACATAACATAGATAACGATAGTGAACATAACGTAATAAGACATAATAGAATAGGTAATGAAGAAATTGTTGATCTTTTAGACGAGAGTGCATTAGCTAAATCTCTAAATAAAGTTAAGAAAATGTATAGAGATTCGTCAGCGTCAGTTGCTAATAAATTGAATAGTAAAATTGGGAAGAGTGGTATATTTCTAACCGAGAACTGCACTACTGTTATAGCACAGATTGGAACCACGGCCGTATTGCATTGTGAAGTAAGCGACATCACTGAGAATACGGTAAGTGTATTTTTTCTGTGCGCCAACAATTTTCCTGAGTGCTCCTTAAGTTTTATAGTTAAATAAATTGTTTGAAAATCTCGAATGAAGACTCTTAGTTAGATAAGAAACTTTTGTTCTGTTTGAAAAGGAAGACAGTTTTTTTAATTGCTTTTAATGAGTGGACGCGCTCACCGCCCATCTGGTGTTAAGTGGTTACCGGAGCCGATAGACATCTAGAACGTGAATTCGCCACCCAACTGGAGATATACATTCTATTGTCTCAGTATAATTACAACGGCTGCCTGACCCATCAAATCGAAATGCATTACTGCTTCACGGTAGAAATAGGCTGCGGACTCACACTCTTGTGAGTCCTACCACCAGTAATTACGCAAATTATAATTTTGCTGGTTTGATTTTTATTACACGATGCTATTCCTTCACCTTTGAAGTCAATCTTGAACATTTGTTAAGTTCGTATTTTATTGGAAAAATTGGTTCTTGCCAGATCACAACGTTCGCGTTGCTATATCTTTGATCTCCGGTCACCACTTAATAGCAAACTACTTCTCTTTGCCCTTATCCCACATTATGTGGGTCCGGCGAAGAATGTACTCTTATCATATTGCATAGGTATTTGGTATTAGTATCACGACCAGCTAACATGCCTGACGTCAGCCCTACTTAGGTTATGTCTACAGTAGTATATCAATTGCAACGTGCCATAGGGACTTTTGTGTTTCTTTTTTGGTGCTTCCTTTAGTTCTTCCGTTTTTTATGTTCGATGTATTTTATTTTATGTTATAAGCTTATTATTACAACCATTTATAATAAAATTTAGATTTTCAAGTACACACCAAAAAGACAAAATTATGATTTTATTCGTTTTTATGTATTTTCACAATAAAACTAATAAATAAATCAATTGAGCAATTATCGTTAGAAAACTTTTGTGTCAAAATTCGTTAATATAACGAAAGATGTACGCTCCGAATATTCTAGAAGGAACTATTTAGAACCATTAATTAATTATATTAGAGTCCTTAATTGGCAAAATGAAATTTTGTAACTCAAACAAGATGTTCTGCAATCTCGGAGTTTGAATAATTAAATTTACAACAGTTTCGAAGTACATTCAGGGCTAGAACTTTTTTGTTCTCAGTCTAAGAAAGCTGAGGCAGTAAAATAAGTTGCTCAAATGATAATTCCAATTGATTAATTTAACACAAAGATTGTTTCAAAAAAAATTTCATGACCATCGAAGTCCTGGACTCGTCGAAGTTTTTACTAAGCGATTTTGCAAAGGTGAATAAGTTCATGGTCCACTTTGTATTAAATGGTTATTGAGCCCATAGGCATCACAACGTTTCACGTCGTAATTATTATTTGCATAACCACTATTTCACTCTTCAAACTAAAACGCATTGTTTTGCGACAAAAACAGGCAAGATGGCAGTCAGTACAAGGCAGAAGGTACAAATGAACTCATCTGTCATCAAATAGTGCTGGGAGATTAATGGGGAGTGTTTTCAGGAATTACTTGACACGATCATGTCATATCGTTCTTAGCATTACTCCCTATCGGAGCAGATTACGACCCAATTAACTGCAACCAATGCGCTCATCTACAGTGCGTCTCCAGAGATCTTGTTTGTTATCTTGTTGAAGTTGTCGTGGCTGAAAGGATAAGACGTCCGGTGCGTTCGTATGTAGCGATGTATCGGTGCTCGAATCTCGCTGGCAAGAACCAATCTTTCCAATGAAATACATATTTAAGAAATGTTCACGATCGACTTACACTGTGAAGGATTAACATCGTGTAATAAAAATAAAATCCGCAAAATTATAATTTGCGTAATCACTGGTGGTAGAACGTCTTGTGAGTCCACACGGGTAGGTACCACCACCCTGTCTATTTCAGCCGTGAAGCAATAATGCGTTTCGGTTTGAAGGTTAGGGCAGACATTGTAAATATACTGAGACTTTAGAACTCATATCTCAAGGTGAGTGGCGGCATTTACGTTGAAGATGGGCCCCGGTAATCACTTAACAACAGGTGGGTCGTGAGCTCGTCCACCCATTTAAGCCATAAAAAACCGTACCAACTGGCTTTTCAAATTAAATTACTTCCATGGTCACATATTTTTCTTCAAACGTTGTTTGTGGAGAGTATTCAGTGGTAAGAGGCACTTTTATGCCCACAAAAGCAATAAAATAATGTTCAAAACGCGAGAACAATTCTCAGTTGCATTGAAATATAATATTCGCTGCAAAAGCAGTCTTTACGGTGCTACCATCCGTGCTTGCCGAAAAATAATAATAATAATAATGTTTTTATTGCAAGTAACCATGACTCATATAAATTGTTAAGAAGACTTAGACCTACGTTAGTAGTTATATTTACATCACAATGAATTACTGTCGTAACATCCCATGGGAGATGGCACCACAGCGACCCACGTATACACAGTCCAGCCTGCTTGCGATCATGCTCAGGATACTGTTGGAGCTGGCCCTCACTCTGCTTACCAGAGATGCACACCTCTTACGAATGGTAGCGTAAAAACAATCTATGTGCGCGTCTGCAAACATCCCTGATGCGCTACAAAAGCGGGGCAGCACCACCAGCACCCTAAAAGGTCAACACATGGCCGAGATATTTAAATTTATAAACTCTTGTCAATGGCGTTCCGTTGAGTACTACGGGAGGTATCTTATCATGCGTCCTACCCCTGGTCTCAAAGACCATGATCTCCGACTTTTTACAGTTGTACACCAAGCCGTGTGATTTGGCGTATCCCTCACACAAAGAAACAAGTTGCCTTAGGCCACAGATAGATACAATATAATGTACCACCAATAAAATTATCTATAATACAATAAATAAATCGAAACCAAAGAAAATCTTTGATCATAAAACAAAGCTTTGAAAACACACACAAAAGTTAGGTCGTAACTTTGCTAACTCGTAAATGACTTGAAAACTCGGGGGCGGAATGTTTGTTGTTCGGTATTGTTTTACATGAAAATTATAAAAAAACAAAACTTCTAAGCTCCGGAATATAAACTGCTTTTGATGTTTGTAAATTTTAACATTTCCACTTTTGTTTACTTCGCATTATAATCTACTTTTCATCAATACCAAAAAACGTCTCACGTGTTTAAGTATGACAGTGGTATTACGACACATTAAGCCTAAAGAAAACCAAAGCAAAATTGCATATTCAATTATTACTCATTTCTGGATTTCGCAGTCAATGTCTCTTGTTTCTTTTGGAAGCTATTACTATTTAAAATAGCGATTTCTATTAGCATTGATAGAACGAGATTTCTTTAAAAATTGATCTGAAATTATAGTCAAAGATAAATTAAGAAATCGAGACCACCTCTTCGAGGATTTCATGAAAAATGTAAGAGAATGCTTAGCGGTAATGTAAATTTAACAAATACTATCAAGTGCAAAAAATCTTCCAGATAAAACAGAGAAAAGGCCTGATTGTTAGAATTCTAACTTACAAAATTGACAGATCCAGTACAAAAGATTAAAAAATAATTTAAAAGAGATAAGCCCATATTTATGAAAAGTGTAGAACAATGTCTTCGTTGAAAACCCAACCACAATTGATTAGTTTCGAGACCTTTTGTAAGGAAACCTTCCCTTTGTTTTCCAATCAAACCCTAAAATCTCTTTTACAGAAATCAGACGTTGAATGAAAGAAACTTAAATTAATCATGGCTATTCTTTATGCCCATTTTAATTAAGATCTATATCTTTTTATTTATTATACAATTTTAGCTTTAAATGTTAAGAAATAGTTTGGTAAATAAGGTTATTTCCAATTAATTTAAATATAATGACTGATATCTAACCATCCGCTAAAGGATAACGCATCCTGTGTACTCGTATTAAGCGATGCAAGTATCGAGTTAAAATCTCAACGGTAGCTACGGTTTTGTTTTTTAAATGCTCGTATTTGGTCCAAATTTGTATTAGGGTATAACTTTAAAATTATCCATATTTATAATCATAAACTTTCAGGTTACTTGGATCAGAAGAAAAGACTACTCACTGCTCTCAGTGGGACTGGTCACCTACAGTGCTGATAACAGATTTTTTTCAGCACATGGAAGACATGTCAAGGTAAGCATCTCCTCGAAATCTTTCTTTGTTAATCTGACAAGGTCCATCAACATTTTCTGTGTAAATTTTCAAGTAGAGGTAAGCAATACGGCTACTAATTATTGAATACCCATGAAATTATGGTAGCCTTTCGATCAAGCTGACTAGAAATAAGGTGGTTTTTTTTTAAATGGAGGTAGCAATTGACTAAAACATTCACATTTGTATAATTAACTGAGAGTTTAGGGCTCCTTAGTGTCAAACTATCTGGCGAGAATCAGTTCCAAAGTCATTTGGAGGATAATCTCAATTCGAAAATCTACTTTTTGGCGTTTAAAATATCATTTATCCCCCTTTTTATCTTATCTCTTTTTACGATTAGATGCTATTTTCTCCTCAGAGTCTACAAAATTCTGGAACGGTCTGATCTTATGTCATCTATAACGACAATTTGGATAATTTTTCAAATGTTACTGAATTTACCATCACTTGTTAGCGGAATAGATCTTATCTCTTTTTACGATTAGATGCTATTTTCTCCTCAGAGTCTACTAAATTCTGGAAAGGTCTAGAATCTTAGGTCATCTGTTACTCCCCTGACGTATTTTTTAAAACAAAGCCTACAAGTAATTACCAGAAATAACTGGAGTCTACAATTGCCGATACACGTCCTTACGGATCCATCGGAACCAATAACCTTTGCATTAGACGCCTATTTGGATTTATATATGAATTTATAAATTAAACTACTCATACGAATATTATAGAATTTGTGGACAAATTTATAGATCATATTAAATACGAGCTTAAGCCGACAAAGCAAGCACAGCCGATAATAGATTTGTAGAATTTGTTTAAATCAATCCACTATCGAATTGGCTATTATCCAAACGAACGTTCAAACCAATAACCAAATTGGTGTAGAACCTAATCCAGTTTCTATTCTATTTAATTGCGGCTCATTTGAAATGCGTTTCGGACTAATATGGTGCTGATAGACAATACGGTTCCGCATCTATAGATTATACGAATAAAGCATTCATAGTTTAAAACTGCTGCATATTTATTGGTTTAAATAAAATAGTTTAATAAAATAAAATAGTTTAATAAAATAAAATAGTTTAATAAAATAAAATAGTTTTTTACTGGTGGTAGGACCTCTTGTGAGTTCGCGCGGGTAGATACCACTACCCTGCCTAGTTTTGCCGTGAAGGAGTAATGCTTCTAGAACTTATAACATCTCAAGGTTTACGTTGTAGATGTCTATGGGCTCCAGTAACCACTTAACACCAGGTGGGCTGTGAGCTCGTCCACACATCTAAGCAATAAAAAAGTCACAATGACATGTTCATTTTTTATAAGTAAAGAGTTTTTGAAACATCAAATTCTCTATGCTATCCAATTTCGAACAATATTATGTACACTGTCGTAGTCCACTAGGTGATGGTAATGGTAATGGTTCAACCTAATGGCGCTCTATTTTATTTACTCATTTAATTATCTAATAAATAAATATATAATTTTTTTTCATAAATATCTTGGCCTAAACTTTTTTTTTTGCCAACTACATTCCATTTTGGGTACCAGTTTGGGTACTAGGTTTTATTTCCTTTCACTTTTCCAGTCGGCTGATTTTTATGGGTTAAAGTAAATTTCAATAAGCTGTATGGGCCTGATAAGACTTTGGTCACAGCTTATCACTAATTTGTATTTAAATTATGTGTAATTAATTGGAAAAGTATGGGACAAGAGCATAAAGAATAGAAAATTAAAAAAATATTAAGAAATTCGTTCGCTCTGCTCCAATAGTTTAATTTCCAAGTTGGTATCGAATTTGCTTTGTTTTGTTTCATTTACTAATTAAGACGGAGCTTACAGCTCTTAAATTGAAAATGAAAACTGTATTTTTTCTGACGTAAAATTTTAACGTTACAATAATACAGTTTCCAGTTTATGATTTGTTTCTGATAATATTTCAAGGCCTATATTTAGTAAATATATTAAAGTATTCTGCATCTAATTGTATTTAACTAATCAATTTATTAGTCTGTATATGTCTGTTATTCTTTCTGTCTGACACCCTTAACACAGGAGAAAGAGGTCCTACCTTTTTTTTTTGTCAGGAGGAAAGAGGTCCTGCATAGGTCATTATGTGGGAAACGTTAAGTTTTTATTACTTAATTAATCCTAATACTGATTGGTCAATATAAGTCCCCATTTTAGCTATTGTATAAAGACGAGTTTACTCCTGCTGATGGTGAGTAGTTGCCCTCGTTCATAGACCATCAATAGTAGGGACAAAGCCAAACAAGGTAATGTTTAGGCAAGTAAGCTGGTGTTAAACTATAAACTAAATCAAGCAGTTCCATTGATGTTGATGAGATGAAGACATTAATTGCACCTTTGTTTCAGGATTGGGCGTTACATATCAGATTCGCAACATCTGTAGACGGAGGATACTATGAATGTCAAGTGCCCACACATCCACCTACAAGCATCTTTTTCAAACTAGTTCTAGTTGGTGAGTTGAAACATTAAGATAAATTAACAGATTATGTCTTAGTATCTACTCTACCGGGAACTTTAACAGATTTTTTCGATAAAGTCCATGAATCCGTAAATTTACTTTTACTGAAGTAGGCTTTTACTGGTTATAGGAACCATCATTCTCCCCATTTCTGCCGTGAAGCCTTTTTGTCTTAAACAGTGGGTCTAGTTGCTAAATGCCGTTGGTACTACAACCTAAGCTCACACAGCAATGTGGGCTTAACATCAGATGACCTACGAATTCGTCTGCTCATCTTAGCTAGTCAAATATGAAATTTCTTAATTGAATTCAGCTTGGTCCATGTTATTAAACAGAACTCTTATGTATATCGAGGAAACTATTATTATTATTAAAACCTTATCCCACAAAACCAAAAAGGTAGTTACATGTTAAAATATTGAACTTGAAACATTATATCTGCCGCATATTTTCCAGAATTTCCTCTATGTATTTATTTTTAGCGAAAACATCGCCCAATATAGAAGTATATTGTATACATATATTATACATTTCGTTGTACTTACTTTTTGAGTTTTCAATATAAATTGAGTTTTGATTTCCAAAAAATATACTCTCTTTCTTTTTCTTTCAAAATATTCCGTTTTATTAACATTTTGTTTGTTTTGAAATGGTCCGTAGCTGCCTATGCTGAAATAATTGGAGAATCAGAAAAGATAATTCACGAAGGTTCAATGCTGAGATTGGTTTGCGTCGTCAAGAGATCCACAGAGCCTCCGTCTTACGTCTTCTGGTATTTCGAGAATCGGATGATCAATTATGACTTGAGTAAGTTTCACTGGTTCTTTTTATTTTCATTATCTGTAATTTTTCATATTGCCACCGAAAGAAAAGTTTCGACTAGCTTGATGACGATGATCACTATTGCTCAAAAGCATTAGCATTGACAAGTCCACAGTCATATCGTTGCTTACTATTGAGCACTTTTTAAAAGGCTTCTTCTATACTAATATTATAAAGAGGAAAGATTTGTTTGTTTGTTTGTTTCGAATAGGCTCCGAAACTACTGGACCGATTTGAAAAATTCTTTTTCCATTAGAAGCCGACATTGTCCCTGATGAACATAGGCTACTTTTTTTAATTTTATTTTTTTGGTTTCATGTGTGTTTTAATGTTTCCGAAGCGAAGCGAGGGCGGGTCGCTAGTTAAAGATAATCTTATAACGTTCTTAGCATTGCTTTAAAAGTATGAAAATAGTACAGAAACATCATAGAATATCACCACATTTATTTCCTTGAATGACGTAAAGAGCGACAAGGATTACGACAAGGATTACGCATTCTTTCAGTATTATTTCAGCGGACATAAATAGTATAACCTTTGACATTACCATGCTCAATATACGTTCTATTGTTGTTCTCAAAAAAAATTCCTTTTTTTTTTATTGCTTAGATGTGTGGACGTGCTCACAGCCCACCTGGTGTTAAGTGGTTACTGGAGCCCATAGACATCTACAGCGTAAATGCGCCACACACCTTGAGATATAAGTTCTAAGATCTCAGTATAGTTACAACGGCTGCCCCACCCTTCAAACCGAAACGCATTACTGCTTCACGGCAGAAATAGGCGGGGCGGTGGTACCTACCCGTGCGGACNGTGGTTACTGGAGCCCATAGACATCTACAGCGTAAATGCGCCACACACCTTGAGATATAAGTTCTAAGATCTCAGTATAGTTACAACGGCTGCCCCACCCTTCAAACCGAAACGCATTACTGCTTCACGGCAGAAATAGGCGGGGCGGTGGTACCTACCCGTGCGGACTCACAAGAGGTCCTACCACCAGTAATTAATTAATTCGCAATAGAAAAACCTCTCAATTTCATTCATCAATAGTCACTCAATCATAACTTAGATGGATCGTGATTTGAAGTAGTCGGTTTCTGGTTAAGAAATTCTAAAAACGGTAGTTCGTATTTTACTAGTACTGTATTTACTGGAGGTAGGACGTCTTGTGAGTCCGCTCGTACCACCACTGTGCCTGTTTCTGTCGTGAAGCAGTAATGCGTTTCGGTTTGAAGGGTGGGGTAGCCGTTGTTCTGTAAAAACAGTGAAGGTGTTTATGTTGTAGATGTCTATGGGCTCCGGTAGACACTTAACACTAGGTGAGCCATGACCTCGTCTACCCATCTAAGCAATAAAACATAATAATAATTGTATAATGCAACATTTTGTTCGATTTGATTGATCGAGAAAACCGCATCGACACCCATATACACTATACAAACTCGCAACCTGGATTTTATACAGTTTAGCTGTAGTATAAAGATCCCTCGATAACACTGAGCTGCTAGCTGCAATGCTAACAGCTTAATCTCTTTTTACCAAACTTCTATAAATCATTCTAAAGCTCTAACATCTAAGTGGTTAATTTATAAAAACAGTCTGCATCTCCGCGGCATCCAAGTCGAAACATCCCTCAATAACACTGAGCGGCTAGCTGCAATGCTAACAGCTTAATCTCCTTTTACCAAATTTCTACAAATACTCCAAAGCTCTAACGTCTAAGAGGTTCATTTATAAGAACAGTCTGCACACTTCTGCTACCCCTAGAGGATTCTCCACTCAATAATAGCATTCCATCGGGACCTAATACAATATCTAATATAACCTCAGATTGAAATAAACGTAAGCGCTTGTTGGAACATTATACAAGTATATTTACGCAGCCGTCTTGTTCTCAATTCCAACTAAACAAGTCTATTTCAATTTGAATGTAAACACAACAATCTTCTTATAATTGAATTACATTTCTATTGCCTTTATTTATTGTTGTGATTCCCGAGATACAGCTGTAATAGGAAACAATAGATGTGGATCCTAGTAGGTATTTCGCTTCATTTATTTGTCGACTAGACGTGGCGTGCGGTTTTTTGCGCTTTAAAATTGTAATTCAGAAAGAATGAAGAACTATGCCTTTTCTGAGATCAAGAGTTGGTTCTGTCACTTTCTGGTCCAAATTACCAGTCAATTTGTAAATCAGTGGGTATTTTGTTTATTATAATTTATATGTAGTATTTGTGGATACGCACCGTTACATGTTGCTTAGTTGGGCGAAAGAGCTAAAGACTAAAATCTTTGAAAGCGAAGTGATGTCTGTGATGCGACAATCTAAGTCACTAGTTTACATTAACGTATCGGCTTTTTAAAGTGCCATTTTTAGGGCACTGCTGTTTGTTTATTTGAGGATTTAAAAATCGACGTTTAATTAGGTACGTTAGACGTGGGGTAATTGATTTGATGATCTTATAGTCCGATCATAAGAGATAGTAATTTTATCGGGTCTGAGATGACCGAACTTTTCGGCCGACGCCGGTTTTGATCCAATGGAGTAGCTTAAAAGCTCTGGTGTCGTAGTTCTTTTATCCGAAACCAGAATGTGGTTTATTTAGCGATAGGGTATTTTAGTTGGTGCAACTCTGACATACCAACCAAACATCCAACGTAAAGGCGAAACTCCTGAGAATTCCTCTTTTCTTGATCCAAAAAATGATGTATTGATTTTACCACGTAGCGTTTGATTCTCAAAAGTGTCAAGGCTTCTACGAGAAGCATGACTCAGGCACTGTTGACATAGTCAAAAAACCTGCAGACCTGCAACCATAAAACCTGCAGAAAGACGAGAGAGAAAGCAAGCAAAAATGGTCTTTAATGCGTTAAATATAAACCAACAACAAACAATGGCAAAAATAAAGGGAAGTTGGTATCAGACATTCCTCCCCCTAAGGTTAGGCGGAACCTTTCAAGAATTCGTCCCGGGCTCAGCCGTTATAAACGGGAACTCTTGTTAAACAGAAGAAAAAAATGCTACGAACTTTTATTTGAAACATTTTTTCGCAGAGCAGATCCGCGAATGTTATTTTTTATTGAGGCCCTGTATTTTACGTTTCCTTCGTTCATTCCCTTTGGCTATTTTTGGAACAAAGGTTTTCCAGTGTTTATAAGATAACTGAATGCTGAGTTTAAAGATAACGGTTTTGTTTTGATTCTATTACTCATAAAAAATCCGTCCTATTGGCGACGTGTGATTTTATAATAGGTTAATGCAAATAAATAATATATATGTGTGTGTGTGTGTATTTGTATGTATATATATTGTTTTGTATCTTGTAATATGTATATATTATTATATGTAATGCTTACTGTATGCACTAGGCTTGTGTTCCTAATTCTTCTTTTCTTCTGCGGGCCTACTGGAAGAGATTTTAACATGAAATAAGTAGTGCTCTTGTACTCTGTATCTTTATTGTCGTTCTTCTTCTAACAGCAGTGTGTACAAAATATATTAAATAAAATAAATATAAAAATAAACGTTTTCAATTCCATCGAAGGTAATTCGAGATTATAGCTCACTTAAATGTAAATAGATATTATCGCCTATAGACATCAAGATAAGGGCTAAACTATCTGCGAAGAGGGACTCGAGATATACTATCTATACATTTAGAAGTCGTCGTGGCCTAAAGGATAAGACGTCCGGTGCATTCGTATCTAGCGATGCACCGGTGTTCGAATCCCGCACGCGGGTACCAATTTTTCTAATGAAATACGTACTCAACAAATGTTCACGATTGACTTCCACGGTGAAGGAATAACATCGTGTAATAAAAACCAAACCCGCAAAATTATAATTTGCGTAATCACTGGTGGTAGGACCTCTTGGGAGTCCGCACGGGTAGGTATCACCACCCCGCCTATTTCCGCCGTGAAGCAGTAATGCGTTTCGGTTCGAAGGGTGGGGTAGCCGTTGTAACTATACTGAGACCTTAGAACTTATATCTCGAGGTGGGTGGCGCATTTACGTTGTAGATGTCTATGGGCTCCAGTAACCACTTAACACCAGGTGGGCTGTGAGCTCGTCCNAACAAATGTTCACGATTGACTTCCACGGTGAAGGAATAACATCGTGTAATAAAAACCAAACCCGCAAAATTATAATTTGCGTAATCACTGGTGGTAGGACCTCTTGGGAGTCCGCACGGGTAGGTATCACCACCCCGCCTATTTCCGCCGTGAAGCAGTAATGCGTTTCGGTTCGAAGGGTGGGGTAGCCGTTGTAACTATACTGAGATCTTAGAACTTAATCTCGAGGTGGGTGGCGCATTTACGTTGTAGATGTCTATGGGCTCCAGTAACCACTTAACACCAGGTGGACTGTGAGCTCGTTCATCCATCTAAGCAATAAAAAAATACAATATCCACGGCTGCTTTATTTTTCGAATCAGAAATCCAACTTTTCAACCCAAAATTGAACTCATCACTTTGGTATTTCCCGAGTACTTTACTATTTATATATCCTTTTTGAAATAAGGATTAAAATAATGCGTTGTGCAGATGTGTACATTGTTGTTGTACTTTTTCAAGTCACTCATAACATGATATAATACAACTACCAATATCTGATCGAATATATTTATCCAGATATTGATCAATCGAAATGAATATGAATATCCGGCCACAGTCAACTATTGCGTTGCGTACCATACTTTCTTCTTTCACTATAGTTAGTTTGAGACTTGTGGTCGATCGATAAACTAAAATGGAATTCAAACTGGAAACTTGGACCATTAATTTTTTGACCGACTCAATGGTGCAGCATTTAGCTCCCCTGACTGTTGCACCAGGGTCGTGGATTCGATTCCCACACCGGGCAAACGTTCATGATCTAAACAGGTTTGTTTGCTGTTTGTCTGGGTGTTTATTATCTATACATACTTAAACGCAATTATAAGTATGTATGTCCGTCTCTGGTACTCATAACACAGGGAATCCCAATTTGGGCCGGTTGACTTTGTGTGTTTGTACACCCTTCTTTTTCTTCTTCCCATCCTTATCCATCTACATGGGATCAGCGCAGCATGTTGTCGTGACCGCGTAGGGATTTGGCATGTGTTTTAGGGCCACCCGCCGGCCTGACATTGATTCTCTTTAGATTATATCACCTTTTATTAATTACACAAATAATATTATATGATAGTATATGATATATACTAATAGTCACACACCACCCACAAACCACAGGAATGTTCTTCCAAAAATTATTCTCGTCATTTTTTGTCAGTACTCAAAACACCGATCTATAGATTAGCAATAGTCACAACTTTCCGACAACCTATCTTAAAATGAAAATAGGATTGATCTTGATCTTCCTATTCGTTTTGGATGATACGACTAGACCAGAAGTAAAAACTAATGCAGATTTAAAAAAAAAACGAAGCCCGATTAATGCAACTATATAAATTAGTTTAAATACTCTTCGTTTATTATATATAATTTCCTCCTTCTTTATGCCCTAAAGCCGGATTTATGTACCCAAAATGGATGGTGGATAATATCTAGTGCCAATAAGAACTCCGAAAACTACTTCAGGTCATCTTTGAAATGTAGAATACTTATTAAAAAACCTTCTTATAGACGGAGTAAGTGTCCATAATGGCCGGCAAACCAGTGAACTCGTAATCGGAAAAGCCGAGCCGCGACACGCTGGGAACTACACGTGTGTTCCGGCTAATGCTAAGGCCACCTCGGTGACAGTTCACGTCGTACAAAGTAAGTCAATTTTGTGTATAAGATATCACGTCTACGGTGACGGAATAGTATTGTGTAATAATAATCAAACCTTGAAAGAGAGTCCATGAGCTATTGTGACCATTTATGAGCAGGTGGGGGGGGGGGTGATATATACTTATGCATAAAATGAAAATATTAAAAAAAGTCTTACAAGGAATATTTATTTAGATTTTAAGCTATTGCATAGTTTTTATCGTGGGCTTTGAGCGCGGCGTATCAAGAAATTCCGTAACGAAAATAAAACCTAACAGCCCCCACTCCGCCTACCATGTAACTCACGTTCAACACATTCACACGTTGCGCTTGTGTAGTGTTTGTGAATAAGCGCGCGGCGTGACGTCGCACTGCATGCGCTTCATGAAAAGTCTGCCCATCTCTCTCTCGCGCGATCTAGCTTATGAGTGTGAAGGGGACAGTTAATGTTTTGATTTTGATAATGTTTATAAATATAGCGTGGTCTTATTTTAATATTGTTTTAATATTAAATTATTATTGTCTAATTATAATTGCATTAGTTGATAAAAAATGCTATGCAATAGCTTTACCGCGGCAGTCCCCGAGTGCCACACGTGTTTTTTTTTTTCTCAAACTGCGAAGATACGTGTATTTCTGATTCACTTTTGTAGACGGTTATATCAAATCAGTCATCAGATGGATTGCTTAATGCAAATTTGATTGCGAGGTTATTCAAGTTTATATTCTAAAGGATGTTGTTGTTCTCAGGCGAAACTCCAGCAGCGATGCAACACGGTAACAATTCATCAGCTTCTCTGGCAAATGTATACAGCCTAACGAAGCTACTCATAAACATTTTTTATTTAAGTATAATCCTTCATAGTCATTTGGATATTGGATAATACCATTTTTTATTGTTGCATATCGATATATTTAATATATTTTATGTAGTTTAAGTGTATGTTTTTGAAGCTGAACATTTTTGAAATGACCTTGTAATAATTTCTGAACATTTGGAAACCTTTAGCAAATTTTAATGAAAATGGACACGTACGTCTAAAATTATGGATCCAAAGGGTTACCGGGTTGTTTGAAATGTGTAAGGTCAACATAAATATTAATGTTAGCGTTCGCCCCACGATCGCAATTCACTTATTAATGACACATCAAGATTTAGCTTAATTTTCTGTATTAATATTCCTACCTGTTTTTTTATGGACAGTTTTGGAGAAAAGAAAAAAAAATCGATTACTTCCTAAATTTTCATAATATTCAAGCTCATCAATCGGTTGACAAGCAGACGAGAAAATGGTGCTTAATTATTTTATATTTCCGTAATTTTTATATAGATACAATTGACTACAACAAGAACTCTAATAGATCAACATAATAGATCGAATTGATCACAAATTTCATCTGAATTAATTACTACACCGTTTATCAAAGTTCATGAATATGATGTTATGAAATGTATAGCCATAAAAAATTTTTTCCTCCATCCTCACATCGTCTTTTCGCATTAAAAGTGTACAATTTCCTAAAATATTCGAAATTGAGTTAATATGCGGAATCATTTGGTATCACCAGTATTTTTCTCATAAATACTGTCAATAGAGCGTTGTTTAGTTTTTTTTTTACCTATATTTTGACTACCATTAACAAAATTAATACATAATTTTATCTTACTTTAAAAGACAAATAATGTTACTGGTAAAAAATAAAAAAATGAATGTTGCAAAGATGATTAATATTAAAAATATCACCCTTAAAACACTCTCCTGTAAACTTAGTAAGTTTTGAGATTATACAGTTTTAATGCGAGAAGACGATATATCCGAATAACACTTGAAGTCAGTATCTTTGTTTTGTATCGTCTGTTTGCAAGATCGATAATTTTAGCACAGTATAGTTGAAGGCGGAATTTCGAAAATTTCGTAACGAAATAAAATTCGAGAATCAACTAGAATATCTAATTAAATTTTATTTAGAAATAGGTACTATAATTTATGGTTTACATGACAAAAAAAAAAAAACTATAATGTATACCAATCGAGTACAATAATGTTAAAAACTATGTAAATAAAAAACATGTGTAATATTTTAAAAAATTAATTAATTAATTAATCATAAGAAATGTAACTATAACTCATTTTGAACCTAGGAATAAAAGTAATTTTTGAATGTAACGTGCCAAGTTGATTTGTTTTAATAACTCACCACACTAGACCCTTCTTATTAAGCTTTATAATAAAAGGTACTGCTGAAAGAATATATTAAGACTGCACAGGTAATTATGGTATAGTGCTGAATTAATATATTCAAGACTAGCGACCCGCCCTCGCTTCGCTTCGAAAACATTAAAACACATATGAAACCAAAAAAAAAAAATTAAAAAAAGTAGCCTATGTTCATCAGGGACAATGTCGGCTTCTAATGGAAAAAGAATTTTTCAAATCGGTCCAGTAGTTTTGGAGCCTATTCGAAACAAACAAACAAACAAATCTTTCCTCTTTATAATATTAGTATAGACCACATAGATTATTATAGGACCCAAAGAGTTATTGCACACCGAGTGAAATTAATTGCAAAAAAATGTTTTTATCTGATGAGACCATTGTTGTTAAATTGTTTTTAATTCGTATAAACAGTCTGAAGATCTGCCAGTGCAAGCCCCTATAATGACTTAGCTTGTACCACAATATTTAAATAGCTTGCAATCCTCGTTGGCTGAAATAAGTTGCACGGCGTACCAAGAGATGCGACAGTGCCTATGTTCAAATCTAACAGGCTGATACCAATTTTTTTTTCTATTGCTTAGATCGTTGGACGAGCTCACAGCCCACCCGGTGCTAAGTGGTTACTGGAGCCCATAGACATCTGAAATGTAAATGCGCCACCCACCTTGAGATATTAGTTCTAAGGTCTCAGTATAGTTACAACGGCTGCCCCACCCTTCAAGCCGAAACGCATTACTGCTTCACGGCAGAAATAGGCGGGGTGGTGGTACCTACCCGTGCGGACTCATAAGAGGTCCTACCACCAGTGATTACGCAAATTATAATTTTGCGGGTCTGATTTTTATGACACGATGTTATTCCTGCACCGTGAAAATCAATCGTGAACATTTGTTAACTACGTATTTCATCAGAAAAAATGGTACTCGCCGGGGGGATTCGAACACCGGTGCATCGCTGTATACGAATGCACCCGGAGTCTTATCCTTTAGGCCACGACGACGATTCCAATGAAACATTCGTAATACGCTCACATTACTTCTAAAATTTCCAAATGCATGCAAATTTATTAACTTGCACAAGTGCTTGTGGGCTCATTGTCAGCCTGCAGGGATAAGTACCTAATCATTCCTGTTTTTGCCACTAAATTATTTGGTTTTAAAAGACCGTTCAGTAATGAGAATGAAGGATTGGTTCTCACGTCTCAAGGTGGGTGCTGGGAATCACATCTCTGAGCTCGCTCAATAATCTATCATCTACTTTTAATAAAAACTAGTGGACCCGGCGAACTTTGTTCCGCCACACGGTTTATTTCATACACATCAACCGGTCAACTTCAAAATTCTACTATAATTAACCATAGACTACATTACGTTTAGCTGTCAGTTTTGTTTTGTTATTCCATATCAGTTGCGTTTTGTTATACCACGTTTTATGTCACGTCCCACGGAAATGTGATAAAAAGTATCCCATGTCCTTCTTCAGGTTCTAAGCTACCTCCTCACCAATTTTCAGCCAAATCGGTGCAGCCGTTCTTGAGTTATAACTAACACGACTTTCTTTTATATATATAGATATAATAAAATCTACTTACTATGTTTTGATTTTCTTCTTCACTTTTCGGTTTTCAGAAACAGCGTCCGATCTGCTCTGTGGAAAGTACGCTTTAAATACTACATATAGTATTTTCGCTTGATTCCTTATGACATTTTTCTCAAACTACGTTCTACAATTTAGATTGGCCAATTTAGAAACCGGGAACATAGATATCCGAGCGTATTTCCTGTAACTTCCAGAAGTCGGTTACGTGTGCACAAAATACTACTTCAACTTCGCCCCTCTACACGCGATTTACTTCAAAGGGCTTAACAAACAAAAGTACCCAATAAATTCCCTTCAAACAACCCCGAGCTCACTGGAACCTCAATATTTTTCCTTCACGAGTAATTAATCAAAAGAACTGACTTCCGTTTCAGTGTGTCTGCTGTGGGCAGCTTTAATTTGGGTTTACTTTTTGTGTCATCGGGAGTTGCGGGCATTTTTGTTTGGACTAGTGAAAATTTTCGGCCAGCTCTAGTGAAAATTTAGTTAATATGATTTATTTCAGTATCAATCTATACGCCGCATTTGCAATTATCAAGAGCGAGAGCTCATGGCCCACCTGATTTTGCGACTAACTGATTTTAAGTATTAGATTTTAAGTATTGAGGGTAGGTACCACCCACCTGCATATTTCTGCCGTGAAGCAGTAATGCGTTTCGGTTTGAAGGGTAGGGCAGCCGTTGTAACTATACTGAGATCTTAGAACTTATATCTCAAGGTGGGTGGCGCATTTACGTTGTAGATGTCTATGGGCTCCAGTAACCACTTAACACCAGGTGGGCTGTGAGGTCGTCCACCCATCTAAGCAATAAAAAATAAAATAAAAGTGCTTACCAAAGTTTGCAGATATGACAACTGCTTCGCGATAGAAACAGGAAAGTTTGTAATAGCTCAGCCATCCAAACCATCCCACAATCAGAAATACAGCAGTGTAATATGAGAATTAAGCAGTCATGTCCCCTTATTGGTCCAGTGGCTAGCAAAGTCGACTACTGTACTACGGATACAATTCCCGGTCGATATATAGTATGTGCTTGTACTCTAATCCTAGCTCGGCCGTTGAGTGAGAAATTTCATTTTATCACTGTTGTATTACCACCTTTTTCTCTTTCCTTAAATCTGTCTTAAGATTAGTCTTTGGATTATCAAGCTTCATGTGACAACCTTATTACACTTGTTCATTTGGACCAAAATGTATCCACGTAATAAACATGTGTTTCTAAACAATTCATTACATTTTTTTCTTGAAAACTCCACATGATGTAATTAATTAAGGGAGCTTGCAGCCTCGCAGTTCCTGAGTGTGTGTTTGCGCCAGACATTTTTAATGTGTTCATGGCTTTTGTCTCGCTCGCTCTACGGGGTCTGGTATTAATATGACGTGTCATGACGATGTCTCGTGGAGTGCGAATTGTTAATGGAGTCACCGGCGTGTTACATCAAGAGAAAGCATGTAGTAGAATATAGATAAAAAAAAACATTTTTATGTTTATTTATGCAAAAAAAAAATGTTCATTAATTGCATATGTAGACAACAGAAACTATTAGAAAAGTTTAAAAAAAAGCAAAATAAAGATATGGAATCTATTAAGATTTTATTGTCATATCAATGAGTAGTAAATTTGACGGTATTTTGAGTATAAATTCAAGATTACCCTGTATCTTCATTCAGAAAACTTGAGATATATGCTTTTTTTTGAAATTACCACAATATAAAAACGAAAACGAAGAATATATTTCCAATTTGATTAGGGAAATGGATCTTAAAATCAGGATTGAACTGGTTTTTCGGGTGTGTTTTTTGTAAAAATAACTTTTATATTGGTTCGAATAACATTGTTTTTCCTAGTGACTCAATCTCTAAACTACCATTAATGAATTTTATACTAAAAACATCCCCTTAATTTTTTTTTTAGATCATGACCCAATACTATTGCTCTAATGCCCAGAAAAATAGCATGGTGTCATATATGTGATTTTATTAACATTAAGAATACACTATGAGAAAATTATTTTAAAATATATATTACGAAATTGTAAGCAGCTTAGCGACTCCACTGTTTCCGGCCGTCTGCCCCAGACAGCTTCAATGTGGCTTTGGCTTTTGTCTCATATGTACCGTACAGATATACTCAACTCGACATGACGTCATAACACTCTTGTGTAGGGCCTGTCATGAAATTATATTTTGATATGTAATTGGGACCAAATTGGAGTTTAATTGTAGTAAATTAATCTGAAAACTGAACACATTTAATAGGCGCTGGTGGTAGGATCTTTTGTGAGTCCGCACGGGTAGGTACCACCACCCCGCATTTTTTGTCCCGTGAAGCAGTACTGCGTTTCGGTTTGGAGGGTGGGGCAGCCGCTGTAACTATACTTGAGACCTAAGAACTTATATCTCAAGGTGGGTGGCGCATTTACATTGTATATGTCTATGGACTCCAGTAACCATTTAACACCAGGTGGGCTGTAAGCTCATCCAACCATCTAAGCAATAAAAAAATATAGCGCAATGTATCTTTATTGGTTTGACTGGCGTTATGTTTCAAACTATTTGTGTAAAAATAGGTTTTTCACTTCACAAAGCAACTTGCGCCATGCCGCATAAGAACTGACATGAGTTTTACAGGCAGCTACCGCTTTGTGTTTTATCTCCATAAATATCCATTTCAACTATATATAGAGAGAGATCTTTCCAGCTTCTTGTTTTGGGTGTTTATTTTTAATTCATTATTTTTTTAT